ACACACACACACACACACACACACACACACACACACACACACACACACACGAGATAGTCGCGACCCGGAAATGAAAGAGTTGTCAGAGCCTGGAAGCCTAACTAGGGTCAGGGGTAGCAGAAAGAGCCAGGGTAGGGTCGACGGGCAGCCCGCGGAGGGGTCGGAGGTCATAGGTCAGCGCGAGGGGCGGGACCGAGACTAAGAGGGGGTCGGAAGAGGGGTCTCGGGGACACTGGAGGGACCCGCGACGCCATGTCGGGCAAAACGGGAGGCCGCACGGCCGCACTCACCATCGTCCGTGTCCTCCGCCGTCCCGGCCGCCGCCGCCACCGCCGCCGCCGCAGCCTCCTTCCCAGTCGCGGCCGCACAGCCACTTCCAGCCGCCGCGCAGCTCACGCCGATGGCGACAGCGCCGCGCGTCATTGGCCTGCGTGGTGGCCCCGCCCTTCGCGCCCGGCGCGCTCCCATTGGCCATCCCGTACTCACGCGCGTTGCCATTGGTTTTCACACCTCCGCCTTCGTTGTCGAGTTCGGTTGAAGGAGCAAACCCCGCCCGGGACTTGAAATGAAAGGGACTTGCGATCCGGAAGTGGGCGGAAACTGCGCGCGACGTCACCTGGGAATTGTAGTTCTCATTCTCGTTCGTGGTCCTGCAGGTCTCCTCTCGTTTTGGGGCTGGCTTGACGTCCCTGGATGGCCTCTCTGTAACAAGGCTATCGAACTCTCGACTTTCTCCGCTGAGTCTCAACCTACAGATCCTTTTGTTGATTTATTTTTGAGTTCACGCCGTAATACAGACTGACTTTGAGCGTGCAACAATCCTCCTGCCTCAGCTCCTCAAATTCCTAGGATGGCAGCTGTGGATTTTTGTTGCTTTAGGTAGAGCTAACATGGATTTAAGAATGTCTAAAAAATTGGGCGGTTTGAAAGCCAGGTGGTGGTGGCACACGCCTTTAATCTCATATTCTCTTGAATGTCCTGTTAATGACAGAACTTGTGGTAAATGGCAACTTTTTTCCTGCTTAAAAATCTAACAGCCTAGGGGCTGGAGAGACGGCTCAGAGGTTAAGAGCACTGACTGCTCTTCCAGAGGTCCTGAGTTCAATTCCTAGCAACCACATGGTGGCTCACAACCATCTGTAATGAGATCTAGTACCCTCTTCTGACCTGCAGACATACATGCAGGCAGAACACTATATATATAATAAATAACTAGCTGGGCGGTGGTGGTGTACGCCTTTAGTCCCAGTACTCGGGAGGCAGAGGCAGATGAATCACTGTGAGTTTGAGACCAGCCTGGTCTACAAGAGTTAGTTCCAGGACAGGCTCCAAAGCTACAGAGAAACCCTGTCTCGAAAAACCAAGAAAACCAGCCAATCAACCAAACAAACGAACAAAAAACAAAACAAAACAAAACAAAAAAAAAACAAAAGGAAGAAAGAAAGAAAGAAAGAAAGAAAGAAAGAAAGAAAGAAAGAAAGAAAGCTAACAGCCTGCCAGGTGGTGAGGCAATTCTCAGAGTTTGTGACCAGCCTGGTCTACAAAGCAAGTTCCAGGACAGCTATGCAGAGAAACCCTGTCTCCTTAAAACCAAAAGAAAAAAAGGAGGGGCTCTGAGGGAGAAATACCTGTTTCTAAAACATTGTTATATAAAACTTTTAAATTTACGGTCCTCAGGTAGAGGACAGCTTTCAAGAGCAGGTCCCACCCTGTGTGTTCCAGGGTTTAAACTCAGGTCACTATGCTTGGTGATGCAAGCTCTTACTAGGTGAGCTGTCGGGCCAGCCTACTTTTATGTATTTTTTTGATCCATGGGCTTCTCTGTGTAGTTCTGGCTTTCCTGGAACTCGTGCTGTAGACCAGGCTGCCCTCTAACTCACAGAGATCCACCTGCCTCCGCCTCCCGAGTGCTGGGATTAAAGACATGCTTTCAAACTTGAATTTCCATGCATAGTCTCTGAACTAGCTACTGAATTTGAATTGACAGCTCACACTATGGTAAAAAACGACACCCCCCCCCCACAAAAGAACAAACTTGTGCTTTTGTGCTGTGTGTGTACAGCACAGATGTGGAGGCAAGGCTTGGCACTGTGTCTCCGCAGTTCTCCAGCTCACATTTTCATCTGTTCCTCTGTGTGCTCGATGAGCATGTGGAGGGCAGAGGACAGCTCTGTGGAGCTGCTGCACCCTCGCCACCTTCACATGGGCTTCATAACCAGCTCAGGTCCTCAGCTTGACCAGCAAGTGCGGCCTCATGTAGCCCAGGCTGGCCTTACTTTGCTGTGTAGCTGATGATGATCTAGGTCTGCTTCTCCTACTTCCGAGAGACTGGAATAGCAGGTGAGCACCCCCAGGATTTATGGGGTGCTGGGGATGAAACTCAGGGCTTCTCCATGTGTTTAACTGTCTACCAACTGAGTTATAGCCTCAGTCCTCTGTTTTGTGATGGGGTCTCTCACTGAACCTATAACTGGACCCAGGTCCGCCTGCCTCTGACTCTGTGCTGAGATCAGACGTGTGTCTGGCCTTTTGTGGGTATGCAAATGCTTTATTCACTGAGCCTGTACTGTGTAGCTTATGCCAACTTGACACAAGCTAGAATTCTCAGGGAGGACGGAGACTCAACTGAGAAAATCCTTTCATAAGATCAGGCTGTAGGTAAGCCTGTGGAGCATTTTCTTTTCTTTTCTTTTTCTTTCTTTCTTTTTCCTTTCCTTTTTTTTTTTTTTTTTTGTAGATAGGATTTCTCTATTTAGTTCTGGCTGTCCTGAAACTCCCTCTGTAGCCCAGGCTGGCCTTGAACTCCAAGATCTGCCTGCTTTTGCCTTCTGAGTGCTGGAATTAAAAGCATTTGCTACTACTGCCCAGCCATTTGCTTAGTGATTGATGGGAGATCCAGCCTACAGTGGGAGGTGGCTTCTCTGGGCTGGAGATACTGGGTGTTGTAAGAAAGCAGGCTGAGCAAGCCATGAAGAGTAAACCAGTAAGCACACCCTCTGTGACCGCTGCATCTTGCCCTGTTTGAGTGTCTGTCCTGACTTCCTTCAGTGATGAACAGTGATGTGGAAGTGTGAGCCACATAAACCCTTTCTTCCACAACTTGCTTATGGTCATGGTGTTTCGTCACAGCAATAGTGACCCTTAACTAAGACAAAGAGTCCCCGCCACCTTTTTTTTTTTTCTTTTTTAAGAGACAGGGTCTCAGGGATGGAGAGACCCTTCAGTGGTTTACAGTACTTGGTACCCTTCCAGATGACCCAAGGTTACAATCTCAGCAACCACATGGCCTGTGGGGATTTTATTGATTGCTGATTGATGAGAAGGTCTCAGTCCATGGTAGGTGGATCCATCCCTGGGCTGGTGTGTTGGGAGCTATAATCCCTGTCCCCTTGATTTTCTTTGCCTGCCTCAGACCCTTTGCCTGCTGGAGTGAACTGAAAAAAACAACTTGTTTTCGCTGGGCAGTGGCGGCGCACGCCTTTAATCCCAGCACTCAGGAGACAGAGGCACGCGGATCTCTGTGAGTTCGAAGCCAGCCTGGTCTACAAGAGCTAGTTCCAGGACAGGCTCCAAAGCTAGAGAAACCCTGTCTTGAAAAAACAACAACAAAAAAACCCCACCCAACTTGTTTTCCTCCACTCTGAGCAGGTTGCAGCTGCTCTGAGCATGAGACCCTGATGGCAGGCTGGTGGGTCTGCAGCTGAAAGATCCTGAGAGTTGGGGCATGGCCAGAACACTATATAAGCTTCCCCTGAGCACAATAAACTTGGCATTCTTGTATCAAGAACATGTCTCTGTTTCTCTCTGTCTCTGTGTATACATGTGTTTTTAAGTCTCCAGCTTAGTTCCTGGCATGGGAGCTACAGGCATAATACTGTATAGCATGTAGTACAGATGTCAGGGTCTAACACTGGTGGTCCTGGGTTCTCTAAAAAAGCAGGCTGAGCAAGTCAGCAAGCAGCTCCCCTCCATGGCCTCAGTATCAGCGTCTGCCTTCGTGATCAAGGCTGATATTCTTTAGCCATGGACCGTGAGCTGAGGTGAAATAAATCTTTTCTTCCATCAGCTGCTTTTGGTAAAAACCAAACTAAGTCATAAGTGAAACATATACACAAAATAAAAATAAGTAAATCTAAAATTAAAAAATGTGAGAGTGGGTGGTCTTGAACTTGCTGCATGGATGAGGATGGCCTTGAACTCCTTACCCTCCTGCCCCCATCGCATGCTTGCTGGGACAGGCGAGCAGCATCAGATCTAGCTCAGTCTGGCTCCAATACCTGCTGCAGTTCCCCAGTGGCCCAAGGTTTTAGGTATACCTTAGGAGCCCAAATTCCAGGTCCCTCTGCTGTCTTCCACCTATGTGGGTACTCACCCCAACCAATCCCTTCTGCAGACTCAGCCCCTTGCTCTAGGAAGCCTTACCCGACTGCTCTGTTGTCAAGAGCCAAGCCGGGCACGTATCCTCTTTCAGGGTCCTTTGTCCCTATGATTCCACTTTCATATCTGATCCCCGTGTTTTTCAACTGCCCGGTTCTAAATACATATCACCCACTAGAGTCCCTTCATGACAAGCGTGTGTGTGGGGGGGTGCTGGTGACATGGCTCAGCAGGTAAAGGCATTTGTGGAGTGCCTGTGTTCAATCCCAGGAATGCACAACGTAAAAGGACAATCACTTGCTAACTACAAGATGGGGGACATCGGGCCAAACAGAAGTCAGTCAGCACTTTGTGTGGGACATGGAGTCTTGGGGCTAAGGTCTTGCCCACCTCACAGCAGGGGCCCCAGATCCCTGACCTCCTGTATGTTAGGATACATGCAGCGCGCCCAGAAACGGGAATGTTTATTAGCGAGCAGGTAATATTCCCGAGGGGTTGGAATCACCAGAGGTGGTGTGGTATTTTAAGAAGCCAAGATTACAAAGATGCCTTCAGAAACATGCACAGAAACTGTCGAGATAACGCAGGAGGGGGCGCCGCCGCTGTGGGCTGGGGGACGCGGGGACCTAGGAGCTCTGCAAGTACTGAATTCTTCATACTTCAAAAGCCTAGGAAGAGACGGTCCCCAACTTCTTGCCCTGGGCCAGTTCTACAGGCGTCTGAGTCTGTTCCCACAGGCGCCGGACGCCGTTCCTCAGTGGCTCAGGGACTTGCGGCCCTTCAGCATGCGGCGGAGGATGACCTGCACGCCGGTCGGGGTGCTTAGCCGGCGGATCCAACCGTGTTTGTGCTTGCGCTTGATGTTGCTGGGCTGGTACTCGTTCCCGCGCGTGCGGCCGCGGGTCTGCTGCTGCACGCAGGGCAGCTCCCAAGCGTCCGGAAGCCCCATCCAGACCCGGGGTTGGAGCCACCTGTGGGACCAGAGAAATGGCAAGAATAGTTGTTGTGTGACCCCGGCGCGTTGCTCAACCTGAGCCTCAACTTCGTAACGCGCAGGGCAAATAAAACAGCGTGTATGCAAAAGATGCTCCGTAAGAGCGCGTGGTAGTCGAGATCTGAAGCAAGGTACCACCTCAACACTTACCTGCCACCCAACTGGGCCACCGATCTGCAGGCGGGACACCCAAAAGTCCTGGCGAGGAAAGCCATGTCCAGCGGCGGGTGACTCTGTCCCGGCTACCGCCAGTTCCTAGACCGTGGGCTCAATGACAATGCCTCTGGGAAATGTAGTTCCATGTGTTGCCGCGTGGCACTCCGGGAGTTGTAGTTTTACGCCTGCGCATGATGACAAACAGATGTCCTAAGTGGCATGTAGTTCTCTGAAACGACCAGCAGACGGCGAGCGAGCGTCGACTCTCAATATGCGCGTGCGTACGACAATCTGTCTTCGTCTTCTGGGAGCTGTAGTTCTTTGCTTGGAACACTGGTAGAGGGCGCTCCAGGGTGGCGGTGACGCCGCTGGCTTCAGCTGGGAGAAGTGGCTGCAGGCCTTTTCAGTCGCCCTCACTGGGGACAGGCAGCTGGCACGCAGCCGGCTGGCGGCTTCTACGCTACCGCAGCCAAGGCTTCTCCTCTTGGCGCGCAGCCCGGATGTCCTCGAGTCCTAGCTCCTCGCAATCTGGAAAACTCGTGCGTTGTGAATTTGCCCTGGCTAGTTTAATCCTTCAGGCTGGCCTAGACGAATTTTCTTCCCGCAGCTCAGATCTGGACTCCTGCTCACACACCCTTCATGGCTCCCTATTGCTCTAAGGTGCCCAGCTTGCCAGCAGTCACGCGAAGCCTGTACATGAGCATCACTGAAGTTGTCACTGTGTTGTGGTTCCTACCCACCCTCTAAAACGGCCACTTGTACCTGTAAATAATCGGTGGACTTACTGTGTGTAAAAGGGATGATGGCGAGTGTTTGGGTTGCACCTTGAGCTCAAGGCCTGGGAGGGAGGAGGCTCAGCCTTGGCTTCCTGGCTTCCGGCTCCCCTCGGACTCAGTCTTGGCTGAGACCCCCACCTCAGGGATACAATTCCCATTCGCTAGCTCCCACGCTCCGACACTTCTGTTTCATTCCCAGGACTCTGGACTGACACAGCCTCTTGTTCAAATGCCAGCCTTGACCTTTTTTGAGTCTCGGTTTCCCCATCTGGAAGTCTGTTTGCAAAACCGAAAGGTCAGCAGAGAGGAGGGCACACGGCCCGGCGGGAGGTAGAAGCTGGCTGAGACCCTGTCCCAGACAGAACACATCCCCCGCCTACCATGCCACCTCCGGGCTGCAAGCCCTTCTTAGTCCTGGCCCCCGGCCCAACCCCCCCCCCCACTCCCCCAGTCCCTAAACCCTTCACAGAGGCGGGGCTGCTGCTCGCAGAGCTCGCGCTAATCTTGGAAGCGCAGCCTCTGGTTGGACGGTTATCTAGGCCAGGTTGGCTTGCGGCGACAATAGGTCGAAATGCCCGTCCATCGGCTTGAGGCCCCGCCCACACTAGGTGGGACTTACGGGACCGGTTTGCTGCGCGGTTGCGGGATGCCCCTGCGCTGACCGCCCCGGGCCTGCGCCTGCCCGCGCTAATGCGGCCGACCCCGCACCACCATGTAAGCGGCACCTGCAGGTGGATGCTGGCTTTTCCGCCCGGGACCCCTGAGTCCTGCCTCGGGCCCCGGGCCCCTCAATAACCTCAGGTGAGCTGGATCTGTTCCCTTAGAAGTCACCAGGTTGCTGGGCCTCCACTTGGGGCAGGAGAAAACTGCCAACCTCTGCTTTCGCGCTGCTAGGATGCTGCGGAACCCCAGAGGCCTTGATCCCACTGCGGGGATGACTACCGCCCGGGAAAAGCGGGTCGGAGTCTGGGAAGCAGGGCTGGCGCTGTGCTTTAGAAAGGCCTCCGCAGTCGGGGTTGCAGGGTCCTAAAGGTGGGGTGCGCGGCCTGCTTTTCCTTTAGTGCATCCAGGCCACCGCAAGCCGGGTATTTAATGAGCATCACCCCAGCGGTGCTCAGGCCGTGAAGGAAGAATGAATCTGGCCCCATACCCATGCCTCAGACAATGGGGGTGCGCTGCGCTGGTGTCCCTTGGAGTTATGTAACCGCCTGTGGTTGTCATGGACACGGGGGGGGGGGGCTGGCCAAGGGAACCGGATGGAGGCCCAGAGGCCCTCACTCAGGTCCTGCCTTCATCCTCCTGGCTGCCACTAGGGGTTGTGTTGCCACCCCTCAACACAGGGTACCAGGGTGCTGAGGGCAGCCTCATCCAACCGTGCTCGTTGCTCTGTTAGCTCAAGCTCCCTCTCTCCTGGACCTGGGACTGGATAAAACCTCTGAGTTCCCATGGCCAACATCTGCTCCGGGCCTCATCTTTGACGGGCCAGATTTGCAGCCTGAGGCCTGAGCTGGAAACCTTGACCTTTCAGTACAGAAGCCAAGCTTGGTGGTCTGTCATCTCAGCACCCAGGAGGGCACAAGGCTGAGGCCAGCCTGGGCCTCAAAATGAAACCTATGTAAAAAGTATGGCGTTGATGGGGGTTCACACCAGTTACGCCAGCACTGGGAGAGGCAGAGGCAGGAGGTTTGCAAAGAGTGAGGCCACTGTCTGGCCCAAGACTACAGAGCAGGGCTGCTGTGTTCATGCATGCTTAGGGACGGAGAGGTGGGAGGGTTGCATAGAGTTTGAGGTTCTCCGGCTCTTGGAGATATGGATTTAAAGCAAGCACACTGCATGCCGAGCCTGCTACAGCTCCAGAGGTGACATTCAGAGCAAAGGCAGTCTGGGCAGCACAGGGATTTCTAAGCCAGCCTGGGCTTCGTGAGCTCCTTTCTCAAAACCAAGCAAGCAAATCGGCTTGCATGTATGCTCGCATAAGATGACTACAAACATGCTTGCTTGCATGCATGAATGAATGATTGCATGCAAAAGGCATGGATTTCTGAATAAATGAATGAATAAGCAGCTGATAGGATAAACTTCAGCTTGTAGGGCAAGGATGTCCTCAGGAATGGGCATTTGCTTTAGTGTCCCCTCCTTCTGGAAGCCCTCCAATGCAGTATCAATGGACCCCCTGGGGGGGCCTCCAGGTCCTGCTTACCTGATGCATGAGCAGAGTCCTGAGCAAGCCGCTGTCCCTTTCTCTCCGGCTCCAGGACACACCATGCTGACCGGGGTGACAGATGGTTTCTTCTGCTGCCTACTGGGGACACCCCCCAACGCGGTGCGGCCACTGGAGAGCGTTGAATCCAGCGACGGCTATACGTTTGTGGAAGTCAAGCCGGGCCGGGTGCTGCGGGTGAAGCACGCTGGTCCCGCGCTGATCCCCACACCGCCACCGCCGCCACCCGAAGGCGATCCTGGGGTCAAGACGGGCCTTGTGCGTTGCCAGCGCCGCATCACGGTATACCGCAATGGGAGGCTGGTGGTGGAGAATCTGGGCCGCGCGCCACGCGCAGACCTGCAAGGGCGCAGTGGCTCTGGGGACCCGCCCGCTGCTCTTGAGGTGGAACTGGCAGAGCCCGCAGGGGGCGATGCCCGGGCCACCCCAGGCAGTGGCCGACGAAGACGCCCCCGGCGTCCCAAGAGGACCATCCACATCGACTGTGAGCAGCGCATCACCAGCTGCAAGGGCGCGCAGGCTGATGTGGTGCTGTTCTTCATCCACGGTGTGGGAGGCTCACTTGCCATCTGGAAAGAACAGCTGGACTTCTTTGTGCGACTTGGCTATGAGGTGGTGGCACCTGACCTGGCGGGTCACGGGGCCAGCTCTGCGCCGCAGGTGGCAGCTGCCTACACATTTTACGCACTTGCGGAGGACATGCGGGCCATCTTTATGCGCTACGCCAAGAAGCGCAATGTGCTCATTGGCCACTCTTACGGGTAAGACCTAGGGTGGGCTGCTCACGAAACATTCCCTTCCCCCTGGGTGTAGGCTGAGAAAGGGCCACTGTAGTCCAGGCTAGCCTTAAAAGTCATTATGTAGCTGAGGCTGACCTTGAATACCTACCTGATCTACACCCCTAGGATTACAATGAAAGACTTCTATGCTACCCGACCCAACTTCCCTCCTTGCAAAATGTGATTGGGCTGGGATTGTGGCTCAGGAGTAGAGCACCCATCTAGAATCCTCCAGTGAGGAGATGGGGCACGGTTCAGTGATAGAACCCCTGCCTGGAACCTCTCAGTGAGAAGGTAGGGGTGTGGCTCAGGAGTGGAGCCCCTGCCTAAAATCTCCCAGGGAGGGGCTGGGGGCGTGGCTCAGGGTGGAACCCTTGCCTAGAATCCCCCAGTGAGCTGGGAGTAGCTTGACACTATGATCTCTGACCTAGCAAATGATGTTTGTCGTTAGTGTCTGCCAGTGGGTGGCAGGCGTGCGTCATCTCTATACTCAGGAGGTTGATGCTGGAAGATAGCTAAAAATTTGAGGCCAGCCTGGACTACAAAGTTATTTCCAACCAGGGCTATACCTAGGTAGCAAAAACCTGTGTTAAAGCCTGTTTTGATGGTGCATGGTTTTAATCTCAGCACTTGGGAGGCAAGCGGGTCTCTGAGTTCAAGGCCAGCCTGGTCTACAGAGTGAGGTCCAGGTCAGCCAGAGCTATACAGAGAAACCCTGTCTTGAAAAATGAAAAAAAAAAAAGTGTGGGGGGGAGTTAGGGCATATACTCACCCCTCTTACTCCAGAACTTCCACGACCAAGGCAGGAGGATTGCTATGAATTCAAGACCAGACAGGGCTACAGGGTGAGACTTATTTTTCCTTCTTTTTAATTTTTTTGTTACTTTATAAATAATACCATTCAAAATTTCCACTTCCTCCCCTCCTCCCATTTCCCTCCCACTCCCCTACTCCCCCTCCTCTCTCCCCCTCCAGTCCTAAGAAAGGGCAAGGTGCCCTGCCCTGTGGGAAGTCCAAGGCCCTCCCCCCTACATCCAGGCTTAGGAAGGTGAATAGGACCCCAAAGAGAATAGGACCCCAAAAAGCCAGTACATGCAGTAGAGACAAATCCCAGTGCCATTATCATTGGCCCCCCAGTCTGCCCCAATTGTCAGCCACATTCACAGGGTGAGACTTTGTCTCAAAAATAAGAACATATATTGAAAGCATGGAGTGGCAGCCTTCACCTGCCATCCCAGCACTTGGGAGGTGGACACAGTATCAGAATGTCACGATCACCCTCACCAACACAGCTCCCAGGCCAACTTAACATACATGAGACCTGACATAATCAGGCGAATGTACTTCCCCCAACAAAACCAAGGTTGGAGTGGCTCGGGTAGATACTTGGTGTGCACAAGACCGTAGGTTCAATCCGCAGCATCTCCAGAAAGAAAGAGAGTTAATAAATACGATGTTTATATTTTTAAACATTTATATCCCTAAATATATCCTTAAATAATTAGAAACTATTTTTTTTTTTTATTTTTGGGACAGGGACTGTCTACATAGCCCAGGCTGTCCTAGAACTCATCATGTAGACCAGGCTGGCCTCAAATTCACAGAGATCCACCTGCCTCTGCCTCCTGGGTGATTAAAGGTATGTGCTACCATACCTAGCCTAAAAATTAATTTTTAAAAGCTGGACATAATGGGTCATACCTGTAATCTGAGACGGGGCATTGCTATGGTCTCAAAAATGTCTTTTTTTTTTAAAAAAAAAAAAAACATGTAATAATTGCCTTCATGTACGGGTAACTGTGGGCCAGCATAGTGTGTGTGTCCTACTAGTCAGGCCCATTTGTGCATCTGTCCCTTCTGTCTGGATCCTCCAAGCTCTTAGCTGGCTGGACACAGTGATGAAGGGTGAGCAGGTGCAAGCCTTTGATCCTAGGAGTTTAAGTTCAGCTTGGGCAATAGAGACTTGGTATCTTAAGAAGAGCAAAAGAGAAAGCTGCCTGTAACCCCAGCGCTTCAAGGCTGGGCAGGAGGCTTGCCATGAACTCTGTGGTAGCCTGGGCTATACCATTAGGCTGTCTGGCAGAGGGCCGGAGATGTGTGAGCAGTGAAGTTATTTGGTACCCAGTGATTCATTCTGCGCAGAGTTGTGGCGTCAGTGCCTTTGGGTCTGTCCGTGGCGTCTTCGGACGCTGAACAGGACACTGAAGGACTGCCTAGGGGGTTCCAGAATCCAGCTGCAGCCAGAAGGGCTAATCGCACTCCCCGAAGTACTGTTTGGAAAGGTGTGGCCCGCCGAAAGTCAGTCTCTGACAGAATGCTGCCGCTTGCCTTTTAGCAAGCACAGCCCCAGGAGGCACATTCCCAGTTCGAGTAACTTCAGAGTAAGAGACAGCCAAGGTCACTGTGTTAGTG